ATATATATATATATATATATATAGATATATATTATAAGACTAATTATATTTCATGCCCACTTCGAGAATCAAAGTAGCAAAAACGTTTTCTTTGATAGGAAAAATAATCTTTTAAGAAATTTAAATATTGTTGAAATTGACAAATTTGACTGTCCCAACGTAATTTTAATTTTTTTACAATAGACAAAATTTAATCTCAACATATATAAATGGTATATTTTTAATGAAGTATAACATTAAATAAATATAAAAATTTTTAAGTATAAATAACTCTTCTTATATATTTTATTTTTTTAGTTTAGTTTTTTTCTGGGCTAAACGTATATTACTTTATACGTTTTTACGGTAATTACTTTTTTTTAAGTAACAATAGAAAAAAATCATAAAGGGAAAGTTATATGGCACATCACATGACACCTTTCTATGACCTTACTTTTTTTGAAAATGCATCGATGCACCCGCTAGATGCAGTTGCACTTATTTTTTAAATGGAACGCTACATTTTTTTTTTATACCATTCGATTCCTTTATTTATTATGCGTAAAAAAGTATTAAGTGAAAGTCATCAAAATGTCAATAGTTTACGAGATATTTGATGTTTTATATCAGCAATGTATTTTATCATTTTTCTCTATTGTTACCTAAAAATAAGTTATTACCCCTTCTAGTTACAAGATTCACCCTGTATACTCTATACTCTATACTTTATATGGGAAGGCTTTTTTTCTCGGCGGTGTGGCAATATATGCAGGTGCACACAAACATACATATGTAAAACGCTTAGTAGAGAAGAGTGGGGAGGCATAAAGATAAGATCATAATAATGACCGTGAACGCTGTATACAGTATTCTATCTCATTCTCTCGCAGGCTAACAATAAATCCTACAGATTTATATATTTGTCTCTTTTTATTGACGCTTTTCTGTTTTATCGAGTTTCAGATTTCAACGATTTTAAAGAAGTTTTCACTTCAATAAACCATATCCAAAGTTTCACAAACATAAGTTTATGAGAATAAATTATTCTTTAAAAAAAATACATCAAAATCGACTAAAATTTTTACCAATCCCAACCCCACCCCACCCCCACCTCTTTAACACTTCTAATGATTTTAAATATTTAAGGAGGGAAATATATGTATCGAAGTTAATTTTTTTTTCCACAAGTTTTCTAATATTGAAATTCTCTATGTGGTATACCTATTTTTTCGAATTGTTACAATTGTATTTTACAATTATTATACAATTTGTTGCGTATCGTAAATATAAGCATAACGGAAGTAATAAATATGAACGTAATAAAAGACCTAGTAGTAGTTTTTCTAGAATGCAATTCTATCAAGTGTAAACATATACCCTGTAGTGGCGATACTTCAAACTTCTTATCTCAAATAAGCATCGATAAGCTGGATATGAATAACCGGTAATACCCTACACGCTGAACAAAGGGAAATCATTTAGAAGAAAGAACGAAACGTAGAATGTGAATTGTAGTCACAGTCTGAAACGTTTTTAAAGTTTTAGTTGTTATTCGTTTGCACATTAAAGAAAGAAATATTTAACGCATTTAGTGAATTATTAATATTATTGTGAATAGTATTGTGTTTACATTATTTTAACAAATAGTTCTTTTTTATTATCTAAATATGCCTAGAAAAAGAAATAACAGGCAAAAAAAAAGTAAGTATAAGTGATGAGTGCTCTAGAACGGGATGTAAAAAGAATGCATGGAATAAATGTACTTATATTTTCATTTTAAAGTTTGTAATGTATAATTATATTTCTTTTTAAGTTGTATTTTTCAAGAAAATGTATGTTTCATGCTTCAAATTGAATCCAAGTCCTTTTCCATTTTTATTCTATTTTCATAAATTTTCATCTTACATGTTTTCATACAGTTTTGTACAATATCTTTGAGCGAATTAATTTCTCTTTTATTCCTTCAGCAGATGTACCTAAACCAAAGGAGGATCAAAAAAATCCACAGCCAAAAGATGTGATATGCACTTTATATGAATTAAAAACTAAAGTGGTATTCAAGATGGTTGGTGAAACTGTTCCTATATTTACCATCGCAGTAGAGGTAGATGGAAAAACTTATGAGGGTAAAGGACGTACCAAAAAGATGGCTAAACATGCTGCCGCTGAACTTGCTTTAAGAGATATAATGCAATTTCGTAATGCACAAGAAATATACCAAGATAATAATACTTTTACCAGCAATGTTACAGGAAGAGATAATCATTTTGTAAATGTTGCTCATGAGTTATCTAATATTTCAAATTTTGGTTACTGGCAAGAACAAATGACTTTGCCACAAATCTTGGCAGATAAAATAGGAAAAATGGTAAATCAAAAATTCACTGAACTTACACGTAATAAGTCACGATATGCTCGATACAAAGTATTAGCTGGTATAGTGCAAACAAATAAATCGGATGCCAAATTAATATGCGTCACTACTGGTAAAGCATAAATCTCTGTTAAATCTCTTTTGAATGTAATAACATTTTGATCATTCTTATTAATTTAAGGTACGAAATGTATATCTGGGGATCATTTAAGCGTACACGGTAGGGCTTTAAATGATTGCCATGCAGAAGTAGTAGCTCGACGATGTCTCTGTGATTATTTGTACAAACAGTTGGAGTTGCATACCCAAAATCGATCTGCTGAGTCTGTTTTGGAACACATAAAGAAGGGATTTAGATTAAAACAGGGAATTCAGTTTCATTTATACATAAATATGGCTCCTTGTGGAGATGCTACAATATTTTCTCCTCATGAGGAAAACGTGGATAAATATTCTAATAGAAAAGGCAAAGGTCAATTAAGAGCTAAGATAGAATCGGTAAGTGGTACGATACCTGTGGAGAATTATGGAAGAATTCAGACTTGGGATGGTGTTCTTATGGTAAGTATGACTATGCGATTTAATATCAAGGTAATGCATTAATGATTTAATTAGATTTCTTCCTAATTTATTTATTTATTTTAATTCACAGGGACAAAAACTGTTGACGATGTCGTGTTCAGATAAAATAGCTCGATGGAACGTACTTGGTGTGCAAGGTGCACTTTTAAGTCATTTCATCGAACCTATTTATTTCCACAGCATCGTTATCGGTAATTTGCAGGACTGTAGTCACGTGTATCGAGCTGTTTGTGGCCGTATCGAAAATACTATTCAAGGTTTACCAGCATCTTTCAGGCTTAACAAACCATTGATGAGTCGAACAACTGTGTCCAAATCTAGGCAACCAGACAAGAAGGCATTAAAGTACAGTGTTAATTGGACTATAGGTATTTATGTTTATCCATTTAATTAACCATATCAGCATTATTTGATTTTATTGATCGATGTGGTAACTAGTAATCAACAGTGGCAGACTATTGACAAAACACTGGGGAAAACAGTGAACTTTTTGTTTTGGTGGTTGCCGCTTTTCTTTGGGTCTCCTTTTTTTTCAATCCCCATTTGATTATTTTTTGTTTATCCTTTAAATTTTCTGCACTGGCTGTGTCATTCCAATACTCTCAACAGTCAATGAAACACAATTGTTGTCTTGATGTATATGTTGTATTCTGTTTATAATTTATAACCGAACACCTCGTAGAGTAATTGCCACTGTATACCACCTGAACAAAAAGCAGAGCAAAATCATTTCTGTGTTTAACGTGTTCAAATTATTTAATCAAGCTTTACTTGTAAAAAAACTTGTAAAAACTTCATTAAAATTGTAAAATGGGACTGCTAAGTGGTAATATTACAATTCTTTCATATAAAAATCTTATAAATAATATTTCCTCCATTTCTTCATTAGCAGTCTCTTTCATGATACTTCTTCTCTCACTTATATGATAACTAATTATTTTTATTGCAACTCATATTTTCTTCCATTTCCTTACGATAAATTCTCCTTCATTAAAATTGATAGCAACTGATTTCATAGAATCACCTGAATCTATTCTTTGTAATGCTTCAATTTTTCGTTTTATTGAAGCTATAACTTTATATATGTAGGTCAAAGAGAAGCAGAAGTAATTAACTGTAAAACAGGAAAGGATAAATTGGGTAAACCATCTAGACTCTCAAAGCAGGAGCTCTTTAAAAAGTTCTTCAGCCTATTAGGAAAATTGGAAACAATTGACGATGCCGATCAAAATCAATGTCGTTATTACTTCGATGCGAAATCGTCGGTTCGAGATTACTCTGTAAGTTACCGATATATAATACTTATTATACATGGTATATCTAAAAAGTTCGGTGAATGGTCTCAAGAAATAAAGGAAACAAGAGTTACAAACAAAATACCTTTATTAGCCTTCAAAGTAATCGCCATTGGCTACAATGCACTTTTGACATCGGTTGTACAGCTGTTGGAAACTGTCAGCAAACGCTTCTTGTGGAATCACCGAAGCACTGCGGTCAAGCTCACGAACTCCAAAACCGTTACGAAGCATAAGCCTTTCAGGGCTAATTTAAGGCGAGAAACAGAAAGAAGTATGCCGGCGCCAAATCTGGAGAATAAGGAGGGTGTGGAAGCACAGTGACCTTGCGTCTAGCGAGAAAGTTGAGCATTTTGCTCTATTTTGCGCTCCATGTTGCAATGACACGAGTTCTCACACTGATCCTGTTAACTGGGTCGCAGCGTGTACCACCGCTTCACTGCAATGCTTTGCACGATAGGAAGCGTTTGTTGACATGTTCTTCAATGTGTATACGCGGGCACCTTATCCTTGTTAGCGCGGTTTGTAAAATATGGGACCATTCACCAAACTTTTTAGATACACCATATATATGACAAATACTATAGTTAATAACTATAAATATCTATACATGTATATTTTATATACAGGATGATTCACAAACTATTGCTACCTAAAAAGTTCCGAAAGTATGATAGTAGTAGAAAAGTTTATTGAAAAAAAGTTGCATGTAAAAAATTCAGGACTATAATATGACGTTAGTTTTTTTGCTAGGTTCAGTATCTTTCGAGATATATAGGTCAACTTTGTTTTTTAACCTCTTCACACTTGCATTTGGCCACATATGTGGACGTTTAGTTTTTTATGATTATAGTTACTGTCAATAATAAATAAAACAAAAATTTGATATCAATGTATTCACAACAATTAGAGAAATAATTATTTTTTGGTTAGGATGCATTGGTAATATGTATTTTTGATGTAAAGTTATAGATATGAAAAAATCGTGAAATAATTATTTGACAGTCATTATTATTGGATTATTTGAACAAATCATTAATATTTAATAAAATGAAAACTATATACATTAAATATATTAAGTTTTAAGAAGTTTTAAAAAGGTCCCAACAAATTTTACTGTAAATTTTTTATTTTATAACAAATTTTACCTCTAAAAATATTTCCACTATAAAAACAATAATGAAATATTAAATAGTAGGGAAGATATTTTGATAAAAGTACGTCCACTATTGGATATGTTATCAGAAACCTTTAAAAATGCCTCTACACCGACAGAATTTCAGGCAATTGATGAAATGATCCTACTTTTCAAAGGCTAATATAGAAGTTAACAGTATAACAAATCCAAACTGAAGAAGTAAGGATTCAAAGCTTGGATTAGAGCCTCCTCAGATGGATACGTTTCAAAATTTAAGATGTATCAAAAATCTTTAACTATCAGCACACAATATGGTGTCATTGAGAATATAGTGCTGCGACTATGTGAAGGTTTAGAGAACCGAAACCATAAACTAATCTTAGATAATCTATTCACATCAATACCGTTAGTAAAACATCTAAAGACAAAGAGTATCATTCGTTGTGGGTATTATAAGAAAGGATAGAATATCTGAGGATTCTCGAAAGCTCCTTGCAAGAAAAGATTTACAAAAGCGTGAACGAGGATCATTTTCTGTTGCTATATCCTTTAAAAATATTTCATTTCTAAGGTGGTATGACAACAATATCGTTCACATTATTTTTTCTTACGCCGGTGGGGAACTTAAGGATTATGTAAAAAGAAGAAATATATATCAATAACAAGATCTTTTGCTGTAAAAGAGTATAATAAGTTCATGGGGGGGTCTAGATATGTCTGATTGTATGATAGCACATTACCCTAACTCTACAAAAAGTCGAAAAATTTACCACAATCTTATATTCCTTTTAATAAAAAAATGAATAAATCGTAAAAAAAAATTAGGTCATTTTTTTCTGGCCATAAAAAAATCGTCCCTGAAGAGGTTAAATATAATGCTATATTTTAATACTTATTTTCTGATAGCGGCTGTCAAAATGAATGTTTATATCTCAGAAACGGTTGACTTTTCGGCTTATGTTTACTAAAGCTTATTTATACATTATACAATCAATACAGTGTATTCTATATACCATATAAATATTGAATAGAGTTTTCTGAATACCCTGTATATATATATAGATGTATATACATAAGCAGAAAAAGTAGAAAAGGTGATTGTTTTATTCTATTTTCTGTTACAACAGCTTGCCAAAAATCAATTGAAGGACACTTTTGTACGCGCTCAACTTGGCAGTTGGATTAAAAAACCGTTTGAACAAGATATGTTTGAGGTGGATATCTGACTGACTATATTAAAGTATTGATGCAAACTGAACGAATAGGATAAATTCTCATTGTGACATTTAGCAGAGTATGTAGTTTCTAATGTAAAATAGATCACTCGTTTGGCGTGTCATCTTATGGCAGAATTTGGCATCAGTAAAGTATAAATTGTACTATGTTGAAAGCAAGGTAACATTTTGACTTTGTTATCGTACGATTCAACATGTTTTTTGTTTTTTCAATTCAACAAGTTTTTGAATTTTTTGCTTGAATTAAATAGTATTCACAAATGCTAGTCAATTTTTGACAATTTTAATCTTTATTAATCTTTTTAACGCGACAAAAGATGGGAAAATTTCGGTTCTTTTTTATTTATTTTTATATTTATTATATTTTTAATTTTATGATACAAAAAATACGACGTATCTATTTTTTTTTTTTTAATTTTTCGTTTATCGTCTTCGCGAGTTTTTCTATTGAATAAGAAGAGCGACCTTGAACAATTCAATGTCGTTACTATTAATTTTGATAGCAAGTGTGTATGCGAGAATGCGCGTATATGCGTGTGTATATGTACTCGTGCATATACGTGAAATGGATTAAATGATGTTTGCGTTGGCCAAAGAAAATATGAAAAAGTGAGACAAATACGTGGAGTTATAGTATTAGTTATAAGTATTAATAAGTATATTATAGAGGATATGATTATTTAGAAAGTCCTAAAATTGTTGTCTCATTGTGTCAGTATTAAACAATTATAATGTAATTCTGGCTTGGTGACACGCTATCTATAGCCAAATGTAGTTTTACGTTAGAGAACTTGACTCCGTCGTCCTCCATCTTGTTGCTTCTTTTGATTTACACCTACCTCTTTGGATTATCAGAAGTAGAAATGAAGCTTTCTAGGATTTTTCCATCTTCAGTTCATCCAGAAACGCAATATTATAATACACTCGGAAAAGGATAATAAAACTTTTTCTCTACGATTTAATATTTGTAATTTAATGTGAAAAAATGAAAAGAAATATAATATTTGCTTTCGTGCGTACGGTGAAAACCTGTGCAATAGATTGTAGTCGCTAGTATTTAACAGGTTCAACCAACCATAAAGTGTATCTTTTTCTTTTATAATATTTTTTTGTTCTTTTAACAAGATATGAAATAGATAATAAGAGCGAGAATTCAAGTTTTTGAAATAAAGCAAATCTATTGCAAAATTGAGAGAATATAGCTATTATTTATCCAATCCTGAAATCAAAAAATATTTTATTTTTAATTTTTAAAAAGACCAGTAATTTTTAGGATTCTTTTTTAAACCAACGATTCAAAACATTTTAATGTAGAAATTAAAATCATCAAATTGTATTTTTGTTTTCTTTTTCAAATTTTATAGATATTACATTTTTATCGCGTATACATGGGCATTTAATCATTTTCTAATAACAATCAATGACAATTCTAATATCGTATAGTCGTTGCAATATCATTTCATGTCATCATTTCAATTCATTTGTTACATACTAGGGAGGCATTTAAGGGGTTACATGGGTTTTATTCGGGTAAAAACGGCGTATTTTCCAGATTTTTTTTTTCATATAATATATGAAATATTTGATTCAAATTTTTTATTATCTTAAAGATACATATTTAATAAACATTTTCTGAAATTAAAAAAAAAAATATTAAAAACTCCGCCATTGTGACGCCATTCCCGGCGAGCCCTCGGAAAAAAGGTGCATTCGCGTTGACAGCAGAACTCCAAGCAGGATCATCTGAAGTGAAAAAAAAAAAATACTTGATCAGCTTCAAACTAGAAATTGGACGAAGGAAAAAAAAATAAAAATTGGATGTTTGACAGCGGTTTTTACAAAAAAATGCAGAATTCAGTAAAAATTCCGCGGCATTTAAAAAAAAAAAAATAGTTGTAATTGAAAAAAAAAAAAYCCTTCGTCCAAGTCCTTGTAAATTGTATCTCGAAGACCTGTTTAAAATTTCATCGAGATCGGTGGAGTAGCCTTCGAGAAATCTTGACAACCGACTTTGAAAACATAGTTTTGAGAAAAACACGTTTAAAGTTTTGAGTGACCATAGAACAGGAAAAATAACTTTTTTTCTTGACTTACATTGAATCGTCGATTCCTGGGCCATAAAGTAATGAATCTGCTGCATCTGAAATGTCCTCGGCATCCTTTTGTTCCTGTTTATGACGAATCCTGGCTTCACGAGTCTCTTTCGCAGATTTTTTTTCGGCGGCGCAGATATGGTTTTCGTCAGCATTCGGGCATATTCGTGGGAATTTGGGCCAAGTTTTAAGTCCATACAGAGCATGATTAATAATAATGATGATGTTCCTTCATTAAAAATGCAAGCAGCAGTCAATGCAGCAATATCAACGATCTTAGAACCAGCTGGAAGTATTTT